CCCCTATGGGGAGTGGTCAGGTAACGTATGTATGTATGTATGTATGAATGGAGAAACTTCTTCTAGTAGAGAACATTGCCGTAGAGCCGCGCTATGTCGACATTTACCCTTCTCCTGAGGAATGGTTTGAAGGTTCCACACAAGTCACAATAAACAATCGGCACTATCATACTGTAGGTAATGCGGATGAGATCCTCAAAAAGTGGTATGGAGACTACATGAAAATTAGACCTGAAATACACTCTCAAAATACATTAGCAACATAGAAGAACACTTAAATGAAGGACGCAGCTCTAAATAATGCTCCCAATAGTTAGAAAACAACAAATGCAATTTATAAGAGAAAATGTGGCGCATTTTTCATAGCAGTTTTCCCAAAGATATGTTTCCCAGGTGAAAATACAGTTCTGACAAAGATGCAGTACTTTGCTACCAATACTCACGAGCTAGAGTGAAATGTGAATTGATCTCTCTATATATAAATATTCATATATACTACACAAAGAGGTTCAAGTGAAGGACAAAAAAAAGCACGACATATACACATATTTACTATTATGCATCTTATGGAGCTGAAACATATATGCCTCCTAAAAAGTATTATTTCCTTTCCTCAATTATGTTTATAAATTTCAACTAGCAATATGGAAAGATGAGTTTCAATGGAATTGCATTCAAATTTTGTGTAAACTGTTCTAGATCGACAGTGAAGATTTTACCAGGTCGATATCAATGCTCAAATTAAGCCAGTATCCAATCCTTTGTTTGTAGAATTTATGATTACTATAAAACTTTATATAAATAAAGATATTATTGTTAATGCTTCTCCAAGACTGTGATTTCTTAATCAAGATTTATCTGTTTAAATATCATTATCATAACTATGTACAAGTGATACTTAAAAAATAATTGCTTAAGCAAGTAGGCAAACTCTTAATACCATCATGGTTTGGCTGGGGCATAAGAGAGCTCTTCTTTAGTGTTATTTCTTTTGCTCTGGTGATGGTCTCATACATCAGTCCATTATCAGAGCACCTGAATCCAGGAGGGTAACATTGAACAACTGGTTGGGAGGAGGGTATAATTGACTTCTATTTTCTTATTATTTAAAAGTAGACATGTAAGGTTCATGTAATAATGACGGTTTTTTCTTGTCTTTGTGTTTTCAATCTATCATAGCTAAGAAAGGAGTTTTACCCTTACATCCATATGCTTATTCTCCATACATTTCCTAGCATGCTGACAAGGAGAATTTGTTTTAAAAATCAGATCTTAAGCTGGTAATCATTTCCATTATTCTCCTGACCTTAATGTGTGATTCAGGGGTGATAATGTAGGGAAATATTACATGCTAATCACCCTTGGGGTTAAAGGGTTATGTAAATGCAGACTGGTGAGGGGGAAATACAATCATTGAGTACACCTGTATACCACTTTAGGAAGTTTTCATTAACCCTTTTTACATCCAAGCATCCACATTCTCCATGCTGCTCTATATATACATTTCAAAAGGGGCCAACAGGAAGAATTTGTTTAACAATAAGAAACTTCTTTTAGTTGTTGATCATTTCTTTTATTCTCATGACCATAATTCAAGATTCAGGGGTGATATTCTTAAGGAGAAAGTAGAAGCTGGTCACTCTTGGGGGTCAGAAGATTAACATACTTTTTGAATAGTTCTGAAGAGCATTGTAATTAATGGTACTGGTAATTAATGCTGTAATTATGTGTTCAGCGAGCTTTTTCCTTCCCTCAGTGCTCTTATTGGTAAATAAATTTCTTAACACTTTTCAGGTTGGGGGCAAGGGAGGGGGCAAGTTGAGCTCCTCCATTATGTTGGGTCCATCACCAACATCAAAAACATGTTTATGACATGGGCATCTTGGTTAAATTTCAACTTGTTTTACAATCATTAGGAGCAATTTAAGTCAAACTTTTATTTAGAATTTAGAGAGGGTTCTGTAAAATTCAGTTATTTGTAAAGATATTGTTTAGTGGAGATTTCATGTACCTAAATGACCTAATTACTCCTAAAGTCACCACATGGTAATTCTGTTGTTTTTCTTTTTCAAGGACATGTTGATCTATTATTGGTAACCCACTACACCCAAACATCAATATCCATATTCTCCATACCGTTCTCTATACATTTCCTAATGTGCTGACAGGGACAATTTATTAAAAAATCAAGGGCTTCTTTAGTTGGTGATCATTTGCTTTAATTTTGCAGCAATGCACTTTTAGGTAAGGGTATAGAAAAATTAGAAAAGAAGGCAAGAGAAAAGTTAAAATACAGTATTGTCTTAAAAATGGGTTGCATGTTAAAGATCTGTCACTGTGATTGTTGTTATGGCTTTTGATCTATTTAGGTAATATGATGCAAACCCCATTTGAAATCCTTTAACTCAATTGTGTAAGTGTTAAAAACATAAATCTCATTTTGCAAGATTAATTCTCTGAAAAAATTAGATACTGGGCATCAACTTATCTTCTTCATTTCCCAGTTTATTTATGACAAAAACATAACTATGGTGAATTGCTATGCACTTTTCTTTTTTCTCATGATTTTATGAGAGTTTATAATAGCTGATTGACTGTGGTTCATTGAAAAAGGCTCAAATGCCCTGAGAAATAGAAAAATCCCCCATTCCAGGCTCACCGGTCATCTTGAGGCACTAGAAAGATACAGAAGAACCAAAATGTATCAAGTAATCAAATGAAGTTTCTGATCTGAATAAACTTATCACACCTGTAAGTAATGTAACAAGCCAGAGCTCCAAAATCAAAAGAGAAGTAAACCTCAATCCATTCCATAGTGTTTGCTAAGAGATCTATTAAAGCATTACCTCCAGCACCATATACAGTCATGTAGAAATTAATTCAATACAGTAAAATGAAGTAACTACCTCTCTGGCTTATCCAACCCTTCAAGAGTTTTCTTGGTAATATGCATATATAAATCTAATTTTGACATTCTTAGTCAGATGTTCAGAAAATTTAAGATTTTAGAAAATACTGTGTTCAAGTAACTGAAGTTCAGAATGTTTTCATTTTATTTATTAAAAAATATTTAAAGAGGGAGCCCAGCTTGCTATAGCAGTTTTCAGTGAGGCCCTCAATTTATTATTTATTTTTGGGGAGGTGTGTAGTTTGTTCTGCCTCTTGTACTTACCTTTTCATTTGCTAGGTGTAGAATGCAGACAAAGGCAATGGATACTGAGAGATTCTTAGCCATGTTCTTGGAAAGCTTTTCAGGTAATTTAGTATAGATTTCCTTAAATGAGCAAGGATTTGTCACACCTCCACTGCCTTTTCCTGTTCCTTGCTGATCTACACCAATATTTTCCTGAAGTTTGAGGTTAAATCAATAAATAATGAAATTTCATAAGTGACATTAGAGTAAAGAAAATTTCATATTTGTGACTTTATGTAATATCATTGTAACATTGCAAAATGAACATGATATGGGAAAACACTAAATCTTTTACTTTATGTTAACTACTTTGTCAGCAGTTAGTGAGAGAAACCCGCAAACTAACCTTGTCACTTTCACTATTTTCAGCTAAAAGGCCCCACATGGCACCCTTTAATTTCTTTACATCCATTTTTTTGGCAGTTTTGGCATAGCCAATGTCAATTTTCTGAACCTGGAGTAAAGAAAAAGTAAAGCGCTGTAAACAGTAGGAAAATAATCTTGGTTACTTTTATGGGGAGGATTACTTGCAGAGCACTACATATTTCTTAAATTATGACCTTTGTTTTCACACTAAATCAGGGGGAGAATAAGCTTCAAATAGCTCAGCTTAACTGCTGGCCCTTTCAGACAAAAAATTGTTTGCAGGATTAACTCATTTGTTGTTCTATTTTCTCTGCAGGTGTTCACAATTACTATATTGCATAGAATCATTCACACCTTGTTAGGTTGGGCAACAAGGCCGTCACCAGCAAAGAGTGTTTGATCCACTACACTCTCATTTGTGAAGCTATGACTTTGGGTTGAGTCTCCAAAGGTCATGTCCTGTGAAGACGGGAATTCTGCTTCTCCAGAGGGCATGTCACATCCACCATCTGCAGCTTCAAAGGCATCATCATCATCACCTCCACCATCCTATTAAGAACAAAATCATTATTACAACAACAAGATGTAGCACAGTTTGCTGTACCCAAGAAATAAAAAATTTTGCAATTAACATTTTCACACATTCACAAAAACAGATATTCCTTTTGTCCTGGGACTCAGATTGATTTTTCTACGTATGATGCACGATCCTCGCAGTAGATAGCGCTATTTGTGCAATAGCGAAAACCAGACCTGAAAAAAAATCAGGCCTGTACGGGACTCGAACCACTGACCTCTGCGATACTAGTGCAGCGCTCTACCAATTGAACTAACAAGCCAACTGGGAGCAGGCCGTTAAGTTGGTTCATAACAAACCCGTGAAAGTGATAAATGAGATAGAATAAATATATGAACTTCATATATTTATTCTATCTCATTTATCACTTTCACGGGTTTGTTACGAACCAACTTAACGACCTGCTCCCAGTTGGCTTGTTAGCTCAATTGGTAGAGCGCTGCACTAGTATCGCAGAGGTCAGTGGTTCGAGTCCCATACAAGCCTGATTTTTTTTCAGGTCTGATTTTTGCTATTGCATAAATAAGGCTATCTACTGTGAGGATCGTGCATCATATGTATCTAATACCGCATTTCAAAATATATGAACTTCATATATTTATTCTATCTCATTGATTTTTCTGTCAGTGACTCATGCAAACCCTGTAGTTTAATCCACTCATGGCTATGGCATTCATCTCTTAGTGCACACCCTACTATCAAGTGCATGCAAAATTGCCAGCTTCACAGGCAAAATAGGGTCTGTTGGGTATAGCAGAAGAATTGAATAGAGAACATTTCCCACACTGAGCCACAGTTATTTACTGTGCATCCAAACACCACACAAGTACTTGGAATAACCTCCTTACACCTTAAACTTCCATGCCCTTTTCTGTACATTTTCAAAATTTCAAACCCTGTGGACATCTGAACTTAGGAAAGAAAATTACTTTTCTGCTATTAGGCATGTTTTATTGACCAAATGTTGTTGAGGCAACTAGCCTAAGAAACTGTTAAGTGCAGACTTGACAGAGGGTCACATAATTTACATTGGTTGATAACCAGCCTACAGTTTGCAACAACAATTGGTGACCGACATGAGAGGGCTTATACCAACAGCACTTACCTGGAGATCTGGACAGTAGTTAGCACAGTCATTTGCATTCTCATAGTTATACCAAGCTGAACCTTAACGAGAAAAAAAAACATCACATATGTGTCATAGTTGAACCTTTACACCTTAACATCAGTATACATATTCTCCATAGTCTTCTCTATACATTTCCTGTGGTACAAACTAGGAGAATTCTTGTAACAACAAAGCTTCCTAAGTTGGGGATCATTTCCTTTTAATCAAGTATGATCTTTTAATGAATCAATGACTTGGCAGTATAACTGTACAGAGAAATTGGATGTTGGACACTAAGGGCTTAAAAAGGGAAAATTGATTAGCTTATCCATATACCAATATTGACTGATTGAAAGTGGCCAAGTAATGAAGATTCACCAAGATTGGTAAAGGATTAATCCATAATTATAACCATCAGTTTGCCACCTATCATTCATTTTTTTCATCACCTTTCAAAGTATGTTCATTTGGCATCTGTAAAGAGGGTTGAAATGGGATAAGAACTTTTTTCTACAGAGACAAATATTTTTCATCTCAGTGAAATTTTAAAAGCTTTGCAAAGACTGACAGTAGAGTTGCACAATAATGCAGGCATTCCCTGTTTTTTTTTTTTTCTGGTGCTATCAAACAACATTGTTCATTTGTTTCCTTTGTTCAAGTTGAAAAAAAAAAAAAAAAGAAGGAAATTTGCCAATTTTTCCCCAGCTTGGATGACAACAGCTATGGTGTACCAATGTCCACATCCACTTACAGCTGTATGGCAAGCAGAGGAGCCTTACACAGTAGCTTTACTAAGATAGCAAAGAAAATCTCTTACCATCATCTCTAAGTTCTGTTTGTGCTTGAACTTGACGTTTAACCTACATGGATGGCATAAAAAAAGGGAGATAAAATATGCATACTCTTCAAAAATGAATGTTATCTAATGCGACTTGTCTCTTTCTATTCAAGAGTTTAACCTTTAGGAAATATCCTGGTGAGTTATCATAAAGAATACAATAGTTATTCATAACTTCAGTAAGTTCTTAAATTGTCTAGAGAGGTATCCAGTTCTAGATTATAGTGCAAAATCATCTATTTAACAGAAGCAGTTCAACTCACCATAATTTTGGGCTTAATAAAAAGCCTAAAGAGTTTGTCTGCATTATAGTGAAGGTCTTCTGGTAATGTGTTCTTGGCTGCTGTGTATTTAGCCAGGGTTGTTTTTGACAATGTTGTTGCTGCCTAGAAAACAAATAGGAGTCATCCATGCTAAAGTTTTCACACACAGCTGTTTGACCAAAGCTGGAGAGTAATTAGTTTCACCCACTACTGCTCCTCTCAAAGCTCTTAAGTTGATTGGCTAGCTAAGAGTGAGATTTTTAACCGTCATTGACTGGTAACACCACCAGTGCGTAAGATGTATGGGGGCCATGCCGTAGCAGAAAATTGTGAAAAAAGGAAGAAGCTTTCATCTGAGGAAACATTTCTACAATTGGAAAGTGTTTCAAATCATTATATTTGAAGGAATGATTAATTTTATAGGTCCTTAACTAAAGTAGCAGTTTGCTATCTCAAAATCAACAGTTAAAATCGAAAACCTTAGAAATGTGTGACAATGAATAGTTTCAAACTGAGAGCATAAGACTGAATAATTAGTTTGCATGAATCTTGCACTTAATGCATGAGACTTGAGAGCTTTGTCTTTGTAAACGACTTCCTCCTAACCAAAAAGTTATTTCCAACTTACAAGGGCATCATTCAGACGACAAGCAAGAAGACAATGATGGTCAGATAGATCAAAGGGCACAGCAATGGCTAAGCTTGTGCATTTCAAATAGAGAAAGATTCAAATTATTTTCAATTATCATCTTATTACCAACAGTTTCACGGAAAACTGGTACACCCCTGAAGTATATACATGTGTAGTGGCAACATTAAATCTCATTACCTTTCCTTTTGAAAAACTGCTTGCAAAATCTACCTCACCATCAAAATTTATTGTGAAAGGCTGTTTCTTTGCTTTCTTTTTCTTACTTTGTTGTTCAGTTGTTGATGTTGAGTTTGTCAAACCTAAAACCAGGACATTGTTTTAAAGTAATAATTGGTTTGGTCATGGGTATAATTGTGGTTATTATCACTTTATTTCAGGAATTGAATGATAAAGATAATTACAAAAAGACCTTAAAAAATAAAAAATATGTATAATAATGCCTAAAGTTAAAAACTCAAGTCCTTTTTCTGAGTGATTTTAAAAAATTGTTTTAAAAGCGTTGTCTTAAAACGTAACTGTCCAAAACTCTCAAATATCTAGATAAAGAGTTCCAATCTTGGCTCTGATTTGTTTTTTCTCTTTCTTTCTTTTTTTTCAATGGTTAGAGACCTTTGACAAGAGTCAATTTGAGCATTATTTTTATTGATTTTTTCTTATAAAATAATAAAGACCTTTAACATGCTCAGGGCTTGACACTAACGGTAGCCCACTGGCCATAGACCAGTAGAAATTCAGTTTTGGCCAGTGGTTTTCTATTTCCACTGGCCAGTTTAGCTAGTAAACAAACTGAAATTGTCGTAACACCTAAGTTGTCACTAGCCACTTGGCTAGTAAGTAGAAAAGTTAGTGTCGAGCCCTGATGTTGTCATGTGTTTGCCTCCTGCTTCAAGAGGAACACAAATAACCTGGAACACATTCTGAAGGGTGATCCCATAAAAGAAAGATGACTGTAGCTGGAAGAATAGGAAATTTAATATCCAGCTGCAAAAGGGAAAATGGTATCTTTACAATATAAGGGCTCACCTTGATAAAGTAACTTACCAAGAGCAACTGCCCTCATATCCTTCCCCTAATCCAACTTTAATCTTAACTTCTTATCAGGGGAGGGGTAGGTGCAATGAATAAACTTGTTATCAGGGGAGGGGTAGGTGCAAAAAATGAACCTGTTATCAGGGGAGGGGTAGAAGCAATAAATTAACCTGTTATCAGGGGAGGGGCAGATGCAATAAATTAACTTGTTATCAGGGGAGGAGTAGGTGCAATAAATTAACCTGTTATCAGGGGAAGGGTGGGTGCAATAAATTAACTTGTTATTGGGGGAGGGGGTGCAATAAATTAACTTGTTATCGGGGAGGGGTGGGTGCAATAAATTAACTTGTTATCAGAGGAGGGGTGGGTGCAATAAATTAACTTGTTATCAGGGGAGGGGTGGATGCAATAAATTAACTTGTTATCGGGGAGGGGTAGGTGCAATAAATTAACCTGTTATCGGAGGAGGGTGGGTGCAATAGATTAACTTGTTATCAGGGGAGGGGTAGGTGCAATAATTTAACTTGTTATCAGGGGAGGGGTAGGATCAATATATTAACTTGTTATCGGGGGAGGGGTAGGTGCAATAAATTAACTTGTTATGAGGGGAGGGGTAGGTGCATTAAATTGCTCAGATAATGATATCCACCCTTAAATTTTACTCTGACTCATCCCTGATTCAATTTTCTCTCAGTAAATGCATTTGTAAACAAGTAAGCTGCTAACAACAAAGATTATTTTAGTCGCATTTAACCTTTTGAAAGCTTGTCACGAAGTTTCCAATGCAGCGGTCCTGCCCAGGTAGACATGAGGTCAGACTTGAAGTAAGAATAGTCACTGGGTTGTGATGAAAGCTCCAAACACAGTGTCCCTGCAGTTGTAGCAGCAGAAGCAATAGTTGTCCTGTACAAAAAAGACAGTCTGTATTCAGTATTTACAAATCTTTCATCTTCAGCCAATCGCTTCTTTTCATTATGTACAGACAAACCTTCCATCCTGTGACACAACAAGCCTTGCTTCTTGTCCATCAGCAAATGCAAGAGAGGCATTACAGATGGGGTTGTGGAAAACATTTTCACAGCCATCCCTTCCATATTCAATGTCCTGCCAAGAAAGAAAATATTTTTCCATGTGTCATAAATCACCATAACTTCTACAGACTCAAAATCATGGATGGCTTTCTGTAAAATGTAGCAAGTTCTGATGACATTGACCAATAAACACTGCAATAACTAGTTTATCGTTGTTTGTTGTTAGAATACATAAAGGTACTAACCTCACCCATGTCAGGCATACCATCATCACTATTGTCACCATTTCCTATTGGCTCTGGAAAATCACACTCTGGCTCAGGCTCAATCACTAAAATGCAGACAAAAACGAACACTCAGTTGAAGTCAACTGAGTCTCAAAAGTAATATGAGATTGCTCAGGTTTTGCTTTACTTTCAAATTGTAATTGTCCAGAAAACAGATCATGTTTAGTGTAGGTGACTTGACCAATATATCAGTCGAGAGGGGTGGGATACTCAACTGTATGTCGGTCAACACTTGGTGGACACTCTGTAAACTATCAACCGACTATCAACTGAGTGTGGACTGAATATTAACATATCCGTTGAGTATCGACCCATTCTCAACTGATATGTTGGTTGACACTTGGTTGACAATCCGTCAATAGTTTGCCCCCAAGATAACCATTTCACTTACCACAGGCCAAGACACTTGTCACCATGTAAATGAGAAAATAAAATAAAGGAGCTTATCATTGTTGGGTTTTTTGACACTATAAATGTCTTGTGATGAAAAGTCTGTGTAGCTACCATGTACTGGACATCAATTATACCTACAGTTGTCAGAGTATTTGATTAAAATTTCTAAGTACTTTGGTTTCTCACCTGGTCCATTAACATCAAAGGCATGTTCATTCTTCTCCATGTCTGCCACCATTTTACCATAATCTGTATTGACCTGC